AAGCTGTAATAGCTGCAAAAGGTGGACCGACATCATATTGAACTCTGGGTTAGGAATGGGATGGCACTTCAGTTCATAGTATGAGTCAAGGCAGGTGAGCGAATACTTTTGGTAATATAGTGTATATATATATATATATATATATACATATATATATATATACACACACATATACATACATATATGTTTATGTGTAGACATGCATATATGTATATCAGTACATATTGTAGACTGAATGATATACTTCTATATAAGGGACTATATATGTGTATATATACACAAGTGTGTATATTTATACACAACATACATATTCATATATATGTTGTATATCTATATGCATATATATATATATATATATATATACATGTATGTTTACATACATATGTGTATATTGCATATATACACAAATATAGATATATACATATATAGTATATATACACATATATTCTATGTATATACTGTATATATGTTGTGTATATACTGTATTTTTCGGACCATAAGGTGCACCGCATTATAAGGCGCATTATCCGAGTCTCGTTGCTGTTAATTAGTTGTTCAGTGATGATTCCGGTCTTCGTGAAAGCTCGGACGACATTCAAGACTGATACCTTAGTGCAGGCATCCACGATCCATTAGCAGATAGTGGCGTAACTCTCCCGGCGTTACCTCCCTGTCTTGGTGAACTTTGAACCCCCTGTTAACACCAATATTTAGTGGTTGTTATTCTTTGGTCAATCAACCAGGAATGATAGCAAGTGCTGAATCAGTTTGCTTCACTTGGGTTTTGACAATATCGGTGAGATGGGCGCGCATGGAGTCGCAGATCAATAGGGACAGAGATTTGTGGAAAAGGGTAGTGACCTAAATTGGACACTGGAGGACGCTGTTGTTGTTGATCGCCCCTTCAGTGTCAGGCGGTTGTCACTATTTTTGTTCTGGATGGTCACCGTTATTGTTGTTTTGACGCTGCTCCCGTGCGGAAGTGCGGATGTTGTTTTGCAGAGAGAGAGAGTGTGTTTTTTTTTTCCTGTATCGATAAAAAAGGAGAAACAAAAAGAGTTCTTGACCACGAAAAAATCGACAGCCGTGCGTCCGAGTCGTCCTGTTAAACGTCATTGTTGGCTCCCACTGCGCTTCAGTTGTGTGACATCATGTGTGATGCGCTGTGTGGTTTGGCTTTATAAAAGTCACACAATGTCGATTTTTGAGAACATTTTTAATTGCGCCTTATAGTGTGGAAAATACGGTAATATATATTTATTTATACATATATATAATATACAGTATATATACACATATGTGTGTATATATATACATATACAACATGGTAACTGAAGATAATCTTAAAGTGTCAGAACATTTTGGTTCAAGTTTTCTAAAAAAGAAGCCTTTTTTTTTTTAGATATTTACTAATGGTGACCTGTACTGACTCGAATTTAGTTGGATAACAGTGCTGCAGTCGCAGGATTCTACCTATGTCTAGCATGCAGCAGGTTGTGGGTCCTAATCCATCTTAAATCTAACCCTGACATTTGCATCAGCTGTAAAAGCCGCTGACTGATTACGTAGTAAATGATTGGTCGACCCATTGTTGCAGCCCTACTTTTCGAACTGATAACCGACCTCAGTTATCTTCTTCTGTATTTAATCCTATTTTTCACCCCTTCTGTTACTCAGGTACGAAGTTTCTTCGGCTCTTTGACCGAGGAGTCCGGCTCAGATATGCGATGCATCCAACAGGCGTACGAGAGCATCGAGGACAACATCCGCTGGATGGACGCCAACCTACCTCTGTTGCAGGCCTGGCTGGACAAACGCAGCAGACGCAGTGTGGTTCACGAGGATTTATAAAATATATGATGAGGGAAAACCTACCCGACAACAGTTAACGTTCCTACAACACCGCGGGGCCTATCAACATTACGACAACAATCCATTCATTTTGACATTTTTGCGTAAATTCTTTAGGTTAAGGATTTTTCTTCGAGTTTGAGTTTAAGTTTCAATATCTAGTTTTGGATTTCATTTACCTTCTTATTCTAATTTTTGAGCACAGACAACAATGTTAAAATTTTTTTGTATAGTTATGTACATGTTGCCTTTTAAAATGCACTGTCAAAATGTTGTTGTGACCATGGATATTGACCATTATGGTCATCCGCTTCGTCTCATCACCTTGTTATAGGAATCGTCTCATTTTCACATCACTTTGATGTTTCAACACTGTATTAGTTTGGAGTGAAAAATTGTTTATTTTATTTAAATACAAAGAAATTGTCAAATGTGACTTTTTTTTTTCATTAAAAATGTTTTTTCTAAACAATGTAATGTTTATTTTTTTCCAGTGTGAGGTATGGAGCCCCTGAAGCAGGCGTGTGCGAACTGTTCCTCAAAGGGCCACTGTGGCTGCAGGGTTCTTAGCCAGTCAATCAGGAGCTCACAGTTCGACCAATCAGCTGTTTGAAGGCTGAGATTGATTGTTCAATTAAATGTGTCAAGTCAGGTGTGTTGATGTCTGCGAGGGACATGAACAACAACAAAAAAAAGTTCCCGATGAGCATCGGAAAATTTTTGGTCCACACCAGAAACATTATTTTTCCCCATTTCCCTTTAGGGCAGTACTTCTCAAATAGTGGGGCGGACATAAGTGTCCCACTGCTTTAATGCTTAAATGATAACAAGCCTCCTGTCACTAGGTGGCAGCAACTCATACAGTGGTTTGAACAGATAAAAATATACATGTTATCAGGTTCTCAATAGTATTTCAATTTGCGTGAGTGTGGGTTTCTCATGTTTAAAGGAGGATCAGTCGCTGTAGATCTTGTGTTCTAAAACTATGGTGCATGTTCCACTGGTGGTACATGAGCTCCCTCTAGTGGTACATAGAAGATTTTCTTTTTTTTTTTTTTTTTTAAGAACTGGGTCGATTAAAATTAGTTAATGTTCATAGAAACATCACAGCCGCGACTCCAAACTGGAACTTTTCCAGGAAGATAAGATGGAAGCAGGTGTAGACATCCGTTGACTCCGACTGAGCAGGACTGTGATGTCAGAGGCCGACACGCCCTTCACTTTGAGATTAGATGTCATTAAATTGTTTTATACAGCTGTTGTAAATGTTTGCTCGCTCTCCATCTCGCTCTCTCTCTCTCTTGCTCTCTTCACTCTCTTAATGTAGGTGTGTGTAACAGTGATTTCAATAGATAATCTATTTATCAATTGTCCTGTTATGTCATAGTACAATGTCATTTTGACAAGTGAGACCTAATATAATAGGACTTAACTCTATATATATATGTATATGTGTGTATATAAATATATACAGTATTAAAACGGTATCTCCTTTATATATATATAGAGAGAGAGAGAGTGAGAAATACATATATAAATATATATACATACATAAATAAATATATTATACATATATACACACATATACAGTATATGTACAATAGTGCTTGATATAAAGAGGAGACTCTCCCTTTAAATCCTCTGGCGTTGTCATAAATTCGTTCGTGTGGACCTTTGGCACAAACACAATATAACACAGCGTCCAGCGTCATAAAGTTTTGTTGACCACACACTTCTAGTCCAGGTTAATATATGGCATTATATATTGTGATCATGTGTTGATCACACTTTACGTGTTTTTATGCTAAACACATTGTTGAGAACTATTTCAGCAGAACAATCTCATTCCCACATCAGAGTCAGAAGTTAATGTTTATCCTGAGCTTTGCACCCAGGGCTTTACTACATGAGGTCTCTCTCTCTCTCTCTCTCCCTCTCTCTCTCTCACACACACACACACACACACACACACCCTCATTAGTAACTGCACTCTGCTCCTGTGAGTTTCTCCTCCTCCCAGTCTTACACCTGACCAGAGTCATCTCTTCGTAAGGTAAGAGTCCGGTCGTTCTTTTTTCCCTCTTCCTGGTTGTGAACCTGCGTCAACAAGGTTGATTTTAACAAAACTTTGACATCGCCAGTAAGTCACTATCTGATAGTTTTAGAGATATTTCACAGAAGTTTCCTATGAGATTGACGTTTTCGACCACCTCGTGTAACACTTTCACCTCGTACATTAGACATTTCTGCTAGTGTTCAGTTGCTACAAAACAAAAATTGAAAGATGCCGATAAAGATGAATATTTTTTTCATGTATGTTGTAGGAGTAATGTAGCTAACGGTGCTAAATATAACACAATTCTCCTTTATCTGATTATGTATAAAAACCTGTTGAATGAATCATTGTTTAGAACGCACAAAAGCTCTGTATTCTTACGTAGATTTTTTTTTACAAAACATTTTGAGGTACTCAGGAATACATCAGGCCTTTGAAAATCTGATATGCAGTTGTTATATATTTTAAATATGACAGCATTTGGTGACAGAAAATGATATCGTTTGATACGTTCAATGAAAAGGAATTTAGTGATTCCTTTTCATTGAACTGATTCCTAAAAAAAAAAAGAACCTAAAAGATCTGTCTTCTTTAGGCCCACAGTCCACAGTTTCCAAACATGCAGCATTAGTCATCACAAAAGAATTTATCACAACAGAAACATTTTGCAATATCTCAGTGGGCCACATCAAGGAGCTGTGGTACTGTGACTAGTGGCACAGGTGCAGTATAACGGTTTATGAGTCATATAGTGATAAGAAGTTCAGATCAGCACTTCGGCTTCGTGTCCGGAAAAAGTTCTTCAGATACATGTTGTTCTCAGGTCAGGGCTGTAGAAATCCAGACACTGTCTTCACTGAGCTCCAGAAAACACATCAGTAGTGGCGGAGAAGTATGTGAGGATGGTGCAGGAGGTTAGACGGTGATGAAGTGTGCAGTCAGAGTGACGGTTGGGCTCGGGCCAGGTGTGGGTGTTGATATCAACGTTAGATTTATGAGACAGTAGAGTAGTTTCTGTTTTCTCATAAAAACACTAAAAAATGTGTTTAATGTTTGATGCGCAGACCTTGAACTCACCACTTCACCTGTGACCTCGGTCTGTTCCGGGTGTTACGGAAGACAAGTGTCGTCACTGTGTCTTTTACAGCTCAACTGTCTGTAAACGTGGGGTAACTGTAGGACATAGACAAAGGTACCTGGTGTCGGCATTTATGACTCTTAAGTTCAAAGTATTTTCATTATAAAACAAAAAAAAAATCACTGCAAGGTGCGTAAGAAGGCACAAGGAAATCAAGGGTAAGGCCGTGGTTAAAGCTAGAAAAATGCTAATAAGAGAATATAACACGTTTTATTTTTATTGGTCTTATTGGAAAATTATATGACAGGTAGACTGCAGCACTACTGTATATGAAGAAGTCTTTAGTGGCAGAGAAATATATAAGAGAGTAAAGGTTATACAGCGCAGTGCAGTCAGAGTGACAGATGGGTTCAAGGTACAGTTGGAATACATCAGGGTTATTTTGGCTCCTTTTCGTTTGCAATGGTGGTGAACAGGTAGACCAGTGAGGTCAGGCAGAAGCTCCGTGGTCATGATTTTTGCGGATGACACTGTGATCTGTATAGAGGTAAATATTGTAAGAGAATAACTCACTTTTTTTTTTTACTTCTCCTTCAGGTTCCTGGTGTTGTTTCTCTTATCCTGGTTCACTGAACGTTTGTACCCACAGCTACACAGTGATGTCGCCATTCGGCTCGATTCCTTTTTTAGAGTAAGACTTTTTTAAATCTATCTATCTATCTATCTATCTATCTATCCATCCATCCATCCATCTATCTATCTGTCTATCTATCTATCTATCTATCTATCTATCTATCTATCTATCTATCTATCTGTCTGTCTATCTATCTATCTATCTATCTATCTATC